AAAAAAAAAGTATCTTACTAATCATCATTTAATATTAACATATATCTCTTTTCAATTGTTATTAAAATTGTAATCAAATTCTTATTCTTTTTTGAATGTGGTACTAGATGTAAGCACTCCACTACTGAGGTACATTCCAGCCCAAGATCAAATTTTAAAGTCAGTCGTGAATTCGAAATTGTCACTTAATATTGGAAACATTTTTCCATGTGTTAAATGTTTTCAAAAACAACTTCTAAAGATTGCATGGTATTTCATGGTATGACATTTCACAATTGTGCACCAGACTCTGGCACATTTTCAGTAGCATAAGTGATGCTGTGATGAAGAAACTCCTAACTTGATTTTATGATACTTGGCAATATAAATGATAGCTGGCTATCTGAAATGACATATGTAACCTGCTGGTCATACATAGGAGGACACCAAAAAATTTATGAAGTTTAAGAGATTAAATGTAGGAAGAGAAAAAAAAATGGTACAATACCAATCATCAACAAGACATTTAGAAAATAAGCTGGTGAAGAGGAAAAAAAAAAAAGTAGATCCAAGAACTGAGAGGAAACTGAGAGATAAACTAGAAGCTCGTCGCTGGTAAAATAGCTCAGTGGATTAAAGCATCTTCAAGCAGGCGCAGGGGGGCGGATTTCCGTCCCTGGGCCTGCCATGCTGGCCCCGCCCCCACGGCACAGCAATTGAGACTGGGCCTGGGGCCACAGGCCTTAATGCCAGCTTCTGGGAGGCCGAACACAGGCAGATCACTATGAGTCCGATCTACATAGTGAGACCCTATAGACCCTGTACAAAAAAGAAAAAAAAAAAAAGCCAAATGTATGCTGTATATAAGAAACACATTTAATCCAAAAAGAAATTATAGATTAAAAATTCAAAGGATAAAAAACAATATTCCATGCAACAGAAGTCTGAAAGCAAGCAAAAGTAGCTATCCTACTTCCCGACAAAGTAGACTTCAAGCCAAAATGATCCGAAGAGGCAAAAAGTGGGTCAACTCATACTGATTAAGGAAATGATTCAACCAGAAGAGATAACAATTACAAACATACAGGCACTAAACAGCACCACATCCATTATAAAACAAATACCACTGAACTTAAAATACCAGATAAACATCAATGCAATTATAGTGGAGGAATTCAACACCCCACTATCAGAAATAGATCAAATTGGCAAAATATCAAAAAAAAGAATTATCAGAGTTGAACCACACCCTTGAGCAAATGAACTTAATAGATATCTACAGTGTTTCACCCAGCAACAGAATACAGCAGACGAACTTTCTCTCTCTCTTTTTTTTTTTTTTTTTTTTTTTGCGGTACCAGGGATTGAACTCAAGACCTCTACTGAGCTATCTCCCCCGCCCTGGAACTTCCTCCAAAAGAGATGACAGTCTAGCCCACAAACCATGCTTACATAAATGCAAAGCAATCAAAATTATCCCACACCAGAAATCACTGGCAAAAGAAACTACAGAAATTATGCAAACATGAAAATTAAACAATACACTTTTTTTGATAATCAATACATTGAACACTGTTATCTTCTCAGTGGTTATCCATAGTACAAGAAGCAGACAGGATATCCTGTCCAAACACTATTAGTACACCTCTTTCTTCTCATCGAATTAAGCAAAAGTAGCTGTATATTTATCCTATTTTGCATATATAAATAAAAAATGATCGTTCCTTTGTATCCCTTTTTTTTTTTGTCCTGTCAGAGGTGGATATTCTATTGGCATCTAAATACTACAGGTGTTTGAATTCAGGTAAACAATCTAACACTGTCTAGCAGTCTATAATATTAGTGGGTTATCCTCAGAAGTTATTGACTAACAATACACTTTGAATAATCAATGAATCAAAGAAGAAATTAGATAGTTCCTAAACTCTTAACAATAATGCCACTACAACATATCAGAACTTATGGAACATAATAAAAGCAGTCTTAACAGTGAAAGTTTATGTCTAGAAATACCCACATCACAAAATAGAGTGAAGCCAAGAGTGGTGATACACACCTATAATTCCAGCACAAGGAAGGCTGAGGCAGGGGCATCACTATGAATTTGAGACTAGCCTGGCCTACTAAGAGAGCTACAAAGTGAACCCAAGGCCGACCAAAACCACACAGTGAGATCCTGTCCCGAAAAGCAAAAAAAAAAAAAAGTGAGCCCCAAAAAATAATCTAACGACACAATTAAAGTTCCTAAAAAACAAGAACAATCCAAATTCAAAAACAGTACAAAGAAGATGAATATCAGGACAGAAATTAATGAACTTGAAATTAGATAATTAATAGAAATAATCAATGAATCAATGAGCTGATTCTTCAAAAGAATAAACAATACAGACACATTTAGCTAATCTTACCAAAAAAAAGTAAAGACCCAAAT